TATACTTAGCATGAAAGCATGAACGTGTGTAAATCATCTGGCACAGTGCCTGGGACACAGAGGCTGCCCTATAGATTTCAGAGGGAGGCCAGGCCAGGCCAGGACTAAAGAAGGGTCCCTGTGCAGCGATGGAGAAGTTTCCAGGCCACCAGAGTCAGAACTAGGGACAAGCAAAGGCAGAGCCCACATGCCATTAGATGGTGCAGCCAGAACAGGAGCTCTGCCTGTGCACTGTGAGATGATGGAGCCTCAGAGGCGGTGCTGCTCACTAACGGGGCCTGTGATGAGGACGTGCAGCTAGGGCCAGCGCCCCTGGATTGCCTTCCTGTCTAAACCAGAAGTCCTCAAACTTTTTCTGTAAATGGCCAGATAATAAATATTTTAGCATTTGTGGGCCACATGGTCTCTGTCACAACTACTCAACTCTGCTGAAGTAGCAAGAAAGCAGCCATAAATAGTGTGTAAATTAATGAGTTTGGCTATTATCCAATAAAACTTTATTAACAAAGACAAGCTGTGGGCCAGATTTGGCCATGAGCCACAGTTTGTCAGTGCTTCATCTAGTCTTTCCCCAGGCCTGGTAGGTGCAGGTGGCTGAGAGGGATGAAGGGTGTCTCTCTTTGTGACACATCTTTCAGAACCCACTGGGAGGATTTCCTCCCCAGGAGCAGGTTACTAAGAGACAAGCCTGACAGGAATCCCAGAGCTATTTCTCTCATCCCTGCCGTCATGGGATCTAAGGAAGGTGATCTGCTAAGTGATGACAGGAACCATGGCCCCGTTTATCTGCCTCTGTTCAGTCAGACAGCAAACAGATGACTCACTCTGGAGCAATCCTGTATTTATTGAGACTTACTGAGTGCCAGGTAGGTTTGTCATAAGAATTGCTTGTTGTAATCTCTTAATAAATAAAAATTCCAATTCCCTCCCCTTCCAGATTCTTTCATATTCTTTTCACTAGGGCCCAGGAAGTTCTGCCCTTATCCCTACCTAAGTGGCCATTGGCATGAAGGACTGGGTCTCAGAGGCGGGGCAACCATGACATCTCTTCGGTTCTGACACTGTAGAAAAGTGATCACTCATGCTAGGCAACTCCCCAACTAAATTGGTTTCAAGTCATTAAAAGCCTTAGCACTCCCAAGGAAAAAGTAATAGCAGCTCTCCAGGGTTACCCTTGATACCAGGCTACTGGCTTTTGAAGCAATTAGACATCACTCCACTACTGAGCTCTCTCTATAAAAACAGAGACAAGTCACCAAAGAGCAACTGAAAATTAGACGTGTGATTGTCGATCCATCACCAAGGAAGCTTCCAGGAGAAGCCCCTCAGTGGGCATCTTCTCACCTTTGCTGGGCTCCTGCACTGCCAGAAGTAGGCTCTGTTGGGATCCAGAGAGGTTGCTCCTCCCTGAATATTATTCTCAGGCCCATAATTCCCTCGATGCTGGAATTTTCCTATAGTTTCTGGATTCAAGTTGTTGACCTCACGTATGGCACAGCCATCCCCAGCCTGGTCTGCCCTTGACATGGGCCCGGGAACTCACAAGGTTGCCGAAGCCAAGACCTGGGGGCAGGGATGAGAGGGCAGCTCTGCAGGAGTGGGGAGAGGAAGAATTCCAGACGAGCATGTGGGTGCAAGGGCCATCCAGCAGACACAGAGGAAGAGAGATCTGAGAGTGAACCTGAGCTTTTCTTCCAGTAAAAAATGCAGCACACTTCATTTTCTGACAATACTATAAACTCCCTTTTATGACACTAGTTGTAAAACCCTTAACATTTTTCTAGTGCTGGCAGTCAGTTTTGCTTGTTTTTGTGTCTTTTTTTTTTTTTTCTTAGAGACACAAATGCAAGAGAGAGATTTGTGATCACGAAGCCGGCATGGGGTTTATAAAATGAAGGTGTCATAAAAGTAACACATTCTATGTACCGAAGAAAAGAGTAGATTCTGTACCATGATGCAATAGGCATTGATAAGGAAACATCTGCATCCTTCACAATTTTTAACATTGTTTTATTCATGAGTAAGAGCCTAGATATCAACAGAGGGTGAACGGTTTCTTACATGCCACCAATTGACTAAAAAGGATGACAAGGAGACATATCTCTAATGACCCATGTCCAGAGTGATCACCCGCCAGAGGGTTTTAAGTGCATGTGCTTGCCTTGCTGAGGCACACCAGGCTGGAGGAACAAGCGAGTCCATGGAGGGAAGGGGCTGGCACCTGTGACAAACCAAACTCTACCTGGCTCGGTCTTGACTTACATATCTAGAACAGAATAGAACAGGTGAATCCAGAACAGGTGAACAGAATAGGATTTAAAACAACACCTGCTATGGGACACCCATCCATTTGTCCAAGCATGGGCCTCTGTTTTAATTAACTCATTTATTATAAGAAATTTAAAAAATTAAAAACTCTCATGCTAATCTAAACTTAACACCGGCCCTGACTTACATCCAACAACGTGCTTCTTCCTGCTGCTCTGCCTCTTCCATCTGTAGCAAACACTGTGGATAATCTTGTATTTATCATCACTTTGGATGTGTGTATGACTGTATCTTATATGTTGTTAAAAGGGCATATTGTTCTAGTTTATTTTCTATTAGTTTGATCCATATGAAATTGACTTGGTTTTTCATGCAATATTATTCTGCTAAGATTCACCCATACTATTGGATGAAGATGTAGTCCATCCATTTCACCGCAGAAAATATTTTCTTACATTGTTAAAGGGTCATTGGATTGTTTCCAGGGTTTTGGTTCTATAAGCAATGCTGTCATAGCCCTTCTTGTGTCTAAAGTGCAAATGGACATTTATTTGGGGTGGATACAGTGGAGCGAAACTGCTGAGCCATAGGGTATGTGAATGTTCCATTTTTTAAGAGAATGGTAAACTCGTTCCCAAAGTGATGGCACTGAGTACACTCCCACCAGCAATTAACCACCTGTTACTCCACGTCCTCTCCACCACCTCTCATTTTTTACCAATCTAATTGGTGTAGAACGATACATCCTTAAGATCTTGATTTGCATTTCACAGATCACTAATAATTCTGAACATCTCTTCATATGATTATTGGTCATTTGTGTTGCCTCTTCTGTGAAAGGCCTGTGCGAGCCTTTTGCCCATTTTTCTTTTAAATTGTTTGAGCTTTTCTTATAGATTTGTAAAACTTCTTGATGTATTCTTCATATTAATCCTATATTGCTAACATGTTATAAATATCCCCTCCTCGTTCTTTAAAGTGTCTTTTAATGAGAAGAAGTTTAATAAAGTCAAAAGTAGCTATCTTTTCTTTCATAAGCAGCACTTTTTGTAGCATTTTGCAATGAATCTTCATGAGATCCGGTGTGGATGGGTCTGCTGAAGCTCTCTGAGCAGCAAAGAAAGCCAGAGGAGGGAACTCCAAGGCCATTTGGCCCAGGCCTTACATTCGCAAGAGGCCTTAAATCAACCTTGTATTCATTATCTCCAAATGAGGTCACTCTTCCACCACAAAGATTCACTGTCAGGGATGAAAGAAGACCCTGCAGCTCAGGGTTAGAGCGCCACCCTTTGCCGTGCTCCAATTAAGAGGTTCTAATAAATCCTGTACACACAAGAATAACACAGCTACATTGCATTCTATTAGTTTTGTTAAAGTGTCACTTGGTTAAATGTAGACATTCAAAATCTACCACAATATTCATATTTTGGATATTTTAAATCTCTAAGGAGACCCTGAACAGAAAGTTGCCAGGTCTTTCTCAACCCCGAGAGGTTCCAGATGGGAGACAGATGTGCTCCCTTCACACTGATGGTCAACTGTGAAGCTGGAATCCACACCCCGAGGTGTCAGGATCCAGAGCCTACACGCTTTATGCTGTTCAATGTGGCTAAATGGCAAGGAAAGGTCACCTCGAGACAAGGGCTGCAGGAGAGCACGTTCCCGGTGGGCACTCACTCCACAGAGCACAGCAGCCAGGGGACAAAGGGCACACTCTGTCCTGATGCCCACATGCTCCCAATGCAAAAGGGACTCAGGCTTCTCCCTGGGCACCCCCTGGGGCACTGCTGTAGGAGCTGGCCAATTGCTGAGCACCTTACACACCAGGAAGAGCAGCGCGGTGGGCCCTGGTGTCCCCAAAGCTTGCTCCAAGCTATCCTGACAGCCATTGCCCTCTACAGGAAGGCCAGGCAGTCACCAGTGGATGGGGAAGGGAGGGCAGGGGTGTGTGTGTGTGTGTGTGTGTGTATGTATGTATGTGTGCGCATGTGTAAGACAGACAGAGAGAGAGAGAGAGAGAGGAGACTGCACATGACCATGCATGTGCGAGTGTGTGAGAAGGTTCCACAGAGGTGAGGGGTGAGCAGAGTAGGAAAAGGCTGGGAGGAGACACTGAGGCAGCCAGTCTGCTCATGGTGGCAGCAGTGCTGGCCAAGGGCTGCACATCTCTGTCACACCACTCACTAATGACCTCAGGGAGAACAGCCGCCACATGTGGGGGCCACTGGACAGAAGGACGCCTCCAACAACAGCATCATGATGCCCGCCTTCACCCCACCACATTCCTCCTCACTGAAAGGGCTGTACAGCAGTACCTGGTGGGTAAGTGCCACATCCTCAGCCTGGAACCAAGGAGCCAGACCCTAACTTGGAAGCACACCTCTTCCCCACGCTGCTCTTGCCAAGTGCTCTCACCTGGGGTGGGCAGAGCCCTGTGCCACCAACCTCTGAGCCCATGAGGAGGGAGGGCTGAGGCTCAGGCTTAATCTGTCTGTTCTTCTGCAGCCAGCACCCTTTGGAAACTCAGAAAGTTCCCAATGAGCACAGACTCTGATCCTGCTGCCCGGAATGGGTGAACGGGCACCCACATAAAGAATGTGTGAAGATGGATGACCCTGCAGGTGACAGGCGACCAGAAGGCAGATGCCGATGGAGAGGTGTCTCCCACCAGGGCGATGACCACGCCCATGGCCCTGTCACAGTGCACGTGCCTGAGTGCCAGTCCCGCCTACCTTCCTGATGCCCTCCGAAGGACTGGACACGCAGTTGTCAGCCCCTCCGTTCTTGCTGATGGTTCTCCAGAGCTCAGCGAACGTGCTGTCCTGCTCCAGGGGGTTGGTGCCCTTGGCTCGGAAGTACTCATAGACAGCCGAATCCCGGACCGTGCCGTAAGACATCTCCACTTGTTTGGACAGGTCCTGGAACGTCCTGAAACGCAGAAAGGCAGCGAGGCATGGGTACGTGTCCCGCCCCACACGCTGCGGGGATACAGATGGGCTGCAGGGCGCTGCTGAAGCCAAGCCCGGCCACGGCCCACTGTCCGTGTTCTTCACTCCAGATGCCCCACTGCACGAGTCCCTCAGCCCAGTGAGGCTTACTGGAATCTCATTCTACCCCAGTGTGTTTCCCCAGGGTTAGATTAATTCAGCAAGGTCACCAAGCACCTAAAACTAGGCTCTATGCTGAAATCCAGGGATTCAGGATGAATAAGACATGTTTCCTGCCCTCAAGGAGCTTACAGTCCAGCTATAGAAACAAACAGAGAGGGAGAATTGCAATATAGAGAGTCAGGGCTGTATGCTGAGATCTCCAACTCAGACACCTGCAGAGGCTGGGCAGTAAAGAGACTCATGCTGGCAAGACCTGCGATGACCATGGCTGGCCCCTGACACTCGGAACTAGCTTGGGGAAGAAGCCCACTCAGGGGCTGGGTGGGCTCAGAGGCATCCGCTCCAGAGCTTGCAGCTGCACTGGGGTTCCCGCCACTGCCAACTTTGAGCCCTGCTCACTACTGCTCCCAACCAATTTGGTTTTCAAAAATATAAAGAAAACTAGATTTTTATATGACATCTGATTTTTAAATGTTGACAGGTACTTAAAAGCTGATGAAGATTTACAAAGTGCTTCAGGGGGCCTTGGGTCTACTGCAGTGGAGGAGGGGCGGGAGCCCGGCGGGCGCACAGCGGCGGAGCCAGCACACTGTGCAGGCCGGGCACCCTGTGCACTGGGCAGGCCAGGCACCCCATGCACTGGGCAGGCCGGGCATCCTGGGAGCCGACTTCCCAGCTGGGAGCAGAGGAGACTTCTCTGGGGAAGGAAAGACAGCTGGAGCAGGAAGAACTGATTAATTGCTAAAAAGTTCCTACTTGCCCCAGAAGGGCAGTACCCGGCTCAGCGTGTTGAGAGAATGTCGCATACCAGATAGAACTGAAAAATAAGAAAAGCCCAGTGGGGAGCCGGGCTGTCTCTCCAGACTCCTACGTGTTCGCTCTTTACTGATTTCTCTTGCGGAAATCGCAATGTCCTTTATCAGCCTGCGTCACGATCACCGCCTTTCACTGAGTCACGTTCCCACGAGAAGAGCTGATCTTCCCAACCAGATCTACGCAAGCCTCCACCTCTGGTCTCAACAGGCTGTTGTCCCCACCCAGAGCACCGTGTCAGTCCTGAAATGAGAAATCCCCCACCTCTATCCGTGGTAGCAGGCAGGGGCGCTCCCTCTGCCCAGAACCCCTTCATCTCACCCAGCCACCCTCACACCTCTGCGAACCCCGGGAAGACCCAGCTGCTGCCTCTCCCCGTGAGGGCCCTGCTGGCCTCCGCCTCCCGGCGCTGCTCTGCGGTGTGCAGGCCCCACGGCAGCATGATCTCTCTGGGGTTTCAGAGCGTGGCGTCCCAGAGCAAGGACAAGCAGGAACGCCAGAGCCCGGCTGCCCGCCCTGCCTCCCAGCCCCAGCACCCTAAGACTGTGGGCCCCGGAGTGTTGGCTGACTTCTCTGTGCCTCAGTTTCCAAATCTTTTAAAAATAGGGAGAGAAGCAGAACCTGTAGCAGGGGTCACTATGAGGATTACGTGGGATCTGCGTTCAGCTCTTAGAGCAGGGTCTGGTGCAAAGTCAGTGTTTGATAGCTGGCAGCAACCGTTCTGAGCTAGGATTACCCGTCTGGGTCCCCAGTAGACCATGAGGATTGGGGGACTGGAGCGGCAGCCCCGTTGTTGCATCCACAGGGCTGACAGCGGCTGCACAGAAGCCCACAGAAGTCCAGCCCTGCAGCCCCCTCCTGCTTGGGAGACACACGCCCGGCACTGCTTGGTCCCTGCGATGCAGCCCACAAACAGAGCTCAGCATTCGTTTCAATACATTACAGATGAAAGGAAACATGAAATAATAAATTCAATGAAGAGATCTTTGTAATTATTGTTCATTATTTATATCTAATTGAAGCAAGATGTTCCTTCGCTTGAAGGGCCCCAAGGGTTGTAACTCTGTCGTGATTTGCCTGTAATGAAAGAAGGGGGGATCTTTTTTTCCCCCACATTTCTTATTTTTCTCATGGTAATGCAAACACACACAAGGCTTTGATGAATGGGAGACATCGGGATGAATTACACAGTTGGGTCTCAATACTGAACTGCTCTAAATTACTGCAGTTTCTATGAGTGTGGAACGAATGGGTAACTGCCGAGGAGCTAGGGCATGATGGTTGCATCCCCACATTTGAAATGGAGATTTCCTCTTTCCTCTTGGTATTTATTCATGATGGTGCCCACGGCCAGAGGCTCAGGAAACATCTCTGGATAACAAGCAGGCAGTCCGAATGTTTATGGCTCCACATACACTTCTGCCCCAGCATAGCTTATAGCTCCCACCCCGAAACGCCACCCGTCTTCTCTTCTCTGACTGCTCAGACCCAGGGGCTCCCTCCACCCATCACCTCTACATCACCAGCTACAAATCCACCCAGAGGGAACCCTCCTGTCTCAGATACACACTCTGTCTTTCGGCCAAGGCTTCCAAGCTCACTAGCATGCCTGGCACACAGTAGATTCTCCCATCCTACTTTAGGGTGAATAAGCTTATATACAAGGCTCTCTGGGGGTATGCACACGAGGGCCCAATGATGCATACCCCACAGCCACCATCTCCCTGGGACAGTCATCCTCTTGTCAGGTGCACAGTTTGGGAAGGGACACCCAGAGAGGAATAGAGGAGGACAGGGACAGGCCGGCAGCAGAAGACAGATGTTGAAGTCAGACAGGACACTCGCCAAGCAAGGAGGGAAGCTTTGCCAGGAGGCGGCTGTGTTAGCAGCACACTCAATTTAGCACTTTTCTGAAGTCAGTCTCTTCAGCGACCACTGCCAGAAAGTGTCTGGGCGCTCCCGCCAGACAGATGAAGGAGCCGTGCCCATCACAGGTGGGGTCTCTGTTAACCTGAAATGCATGATACGACACACTGAAGTCATTCACCCAGCTCTTTCACCAACAGTTCTGGAAAGTCTACCAGGTGAGGCACAGCGGTGCTAGAGCAAGGAATGCACGGTGGGCGTCCTCGGGAGGTCTATAGCGGCGGGTAAGTGAATGCTCAGAGGCGTAAACCAGCAAGGACTACGCAGTGTGGGAGGGGTGAAAATCCAGGTCTGTATGGGGGATCCCGGAAGCACAGTGGAGAAAAACAGTCAACCATGGGCCGGAACCACGGAAAGGTTTCTGAGAAGAGGAATTATACAGCTGAGTCATGAAGGATGGGTAGAAGTGGCCAAACGGAGAACCAAGGCCTAGGATGTTCCGGGAAGAGAGGGTATTACCTGAGAAGGCACTGATGTGTGAAGAGACGTGGCCCATGTGGGACGCACCCCAGGGGCAGTTCTTATCGGCCAGAAGGACAAGGTTATGGAACCTGGCAGCCCTGGGTGTGTAGCCTGCCTCTGAAAACCTTAGCCGTCTGACATAGACCAGTAGCGCTCCAAGTGTGGTCCTTGGAGTTACAGCACTGGTGGCACCTGGGACCTTATGAGAAATGCAAATTCTTGATCCCCATCCCAGAGGTAGCGAATCAGGACCTCTGGGGGGTGGTGCTCGGCAGTCTGTGTGTTTACAACCCTGAGGTGATTCTGACGCACACAAGTTCCAGAACCAATCATGAAGGCAAGTCATGTAATGTCTGAAGTCTCAATTTTCATAACTCATACCTACCCTGCAGGGTTGGTAAAGATTAATAATCACAAACATACACCCAGAGCATAGCCAGTGTTCAACAAATGCTAGCTCTTCTGTTAGATTGACTATTCGTAGTTCAAATGGTGGAAGCCAGGGGCCCATGTGAAGGGGTCATGGGTACACGGTCCAGGGTGCTGACATCTGGACAGAAGCAAGCATGGGCAGGTGGCATGTCTAAGCTTCAAAACTCATGTGACTGCAGCCCTCTGTCTCCCCAGGGAGGGGCAGGAGCCTATAGCCCTTCTTATGGTTTCCACTTTGCTTCCAAGGGACAAATGCTTCCCTGTCAGCCTGCAGTCTGCTGCCTTGTCAACGGCTATACTCCAGGGCCCAGGGCACCTGAACTGATGACCTGGGAAGTCTGAACTCAGGATGAGCCCACAGACACCAAAACTTCTCTGGCAGGCAGTCTGGGCCCTTTGCTTTGTGGACCATGATGGTAACGGCCTAGCAGAGGCCTCCCTGGGGAAGTAGTGAGCACCTAGGCAAGGAACTGCTCGGGGACAGTGGCTTCGAAGGCATCAGCCCCAGGCTTCCCACCAGGATCTGGATTGGCTGATGAAGCATCACAGCACAAGAGTGTGTACCTGGAGGCCTAGCCCACTTCTGCCGCCTGTTTTCTTACTTTACCTTTTCATAATGTTTTGCATTGGAATCTTCCCCTGGCAAAACCTACTCTCTCCTCCAATCTTACTTTTGAATCAGTATCTTCCACTCAACTGTGCTCTTCCAAAACTGGATTTAGTACCAACAGAAGCTGCTTCTATCTCCTGGCCTGGATTACTGATTTTTGGGGTCTCCCCAAGCTGAAAACATAGCTGACACTTAAGTGCACATCAGACTGTCTTGCAAAAGGACTTCACAAGCATCCCTTGCCTCTGAAAACAGTTTCCTCCCATTAAACATGCACCCCTGGAAGAACCACGAGGCCCCTTCAGCGGTGGCCAAGGACAGCTTCCCCAGCTCGGCACCGCCTCCCTCCCCTTTCTCCATAAATCAATCTTATTATTTCCTAGATACATTTTCATTAACAAAGAGATAAATGTGTTTGCAGTATGAGAAAAATCAATAATACAGAACTTATAAATACATTTTTGCATGTTACAGAAATATTTACATTGGCAATGGAGATAAATACACTTGCAACAAGAGCAGAATCAATACACAGCACATGTAGAACAGATTTCAACAATGCTGGGGAAGCCATC